GAACAACTATTGTAGACAAAACCCCATTTTGTTTCTATCATCTTTATTTGAAGATTTCAATTCCAGGATATTTTACTCAGTAATGTATGAAAAGTATTTCTAAGTATACTTTATTTATTGGACTGCTTTGGAGTTGCTTCAATTATTGTCAGTAATTCTGCTTTATTGTGATACCCAAGTATAACAGAGGAAATACATTGCTTTTTAAAGAAAAGAAAGAAAGAAGAATACATGTTTTGTGGACAAAACTTTTATAACATATATATATATGAGATGCCTACATATTTGATTTGCAGGTAGTTTATTGAGTCCATTTGTAAGGATTTTGACAGGTGAAAAATTATTTTTGTGGCAATGGGATGTTAAAAAATAAAGGAAACAGGAAAACAGTTTTGTTGGAATATTGCAGTTCATCTATGGGTCACTGGGATGGGAGTTTAGGTGCACACGATGTGTTAATTGAGAAAGAAAAAATTGCAGACAGGAGTTGATTTAGAACAGAGGTGTCTGTATCAGGGAAACAAGCACAAATGTAAGCCCCCAGTCTTAATGGTCAAAATACAGATAAGGTTATCACTGGACAACACTTTAGGTATTTCAACTTTTAGGGGATCGGTAGCTATTTTCCTAATCACTTTAAGTTGATGTTACATAAAATAAAAATATTTTATATTCACAAGCAGACTTTTTTCTTTTGAGTAATATTAATAAGTTTTGAAGTACTGATGGTGGAGTTATTGAGTTACTGAACAATGACATTTCAACTATTGTTTTTTTACTTTTTAGGATACTTTCCAATAAAAAGGTCAGATACAGAAATTAGAGTAGAAGATTTTTTAAAAATTAAAATCCCAATTACAAGCATCAAAAACTAAGCTGATCTTCTTATCACATTTGTTTGGTGTTCTTTAAAAAGTCTAATCTTTTTTTTCTGATGAACATCATGAAAGCTCTTACTCTAAGAAAACAGTTTGAATACAATCATATTGTAAGCTGAAAATGTTTTTCTGTCTGAATGGCTGAAACTTAGTGGTCTATGTGCTTTGGTGACTGATTGTAATTGCAGTGTGAGCCAGGTTACTGCTACAAAGAATGCTTGTGAGCTCCTTTGAAATTGCCATTCTCCGAGGAAAATGTCTGGACATAATAAAGACACAGAAATGAGGACAGAAGATGACAGAAGAAAGGTAGATGGGTAAGCAGGATACCTGCCACTGCCTTTCTTCTCTCTGTATTATTCTTTTGAACCAGGACTGTTGCTACACTGCATTAAATTTTGTTATGAGTCAGTTCTTACTAAATTAATGCCTTTCAATATGACTGCAGTAAGTTCCTGTCAGCTTTACATGGCCGCGTCAGAATCTTGTCTGGCAAAAATTGTCTTGCTATCCTATCCATTTTACTTAGATGAAAAATCTGCTTGTAGGAGTTTTGTCCCAGATAAGATGGCAGAAAATAGAAAAATTCAACAACTTTAAACAAAAGAGCTATGTTGTTTGACATGTAAGTGCTGCAAGAGCCTTCAAAATTCAGCTTTTCAGTGGTGATATATTTCTGTTTCTTGGAAGGATTAGGGTTATATTTATAGCATTTATGCATTTATAAATATTCTGGCACCAAAATTTTTCCTCCGACAACAGTTTTTTCTGTTTATTTTTAGAAATGCGATAAACATCTACAAGTAAACTTACTGATGGCAAAGGAAGTTTTTAGAAATAGCACCCTGTACTATTTTGACTATCTGGTGAAAAAATATTTTTGATGTGTTTTAGACAAAGCATTGATTTATGGTTTGCTAATGTCAACATAGAGTTCTGCACCCCCTCTGAACTTTAAAGTCATGTGATTATGATTGTTGTCTCAGATGATATTTTTGTCATAGTGGGGCTAAAATGTCTTTGCAATGAAGGTGACCTTGAATGAATAATTAATTAAAGCAGGCTTGGGTATCAATCACTAATTATGACATAAAGAAGATATTTCAATAGATGTTTAAATTTCATCACTCAAAGAAAGACTGTTTTAAAGGATGAGAACAGTTTGGTTATCCAAAGAAAATACTTCCACTATTATTAATCAGAAAAATTTATTTAAAGTTCTGCATATAAATTTATATAAAGTTTTACCTGGAGGTCCTTAGAGAGTCCCAAGACAAAAAGTTCTGCTTAAGGATATACTATGTAGATTGTCAAAAAGATGAATTTTAGTTTTAAAATTTTAATTCAACCGACTGGATATTGAGACCTAAAGGGATTTATTCTGAGGACATTCTGTTACAATCCACCTGTAGGATAAAGTTGAAGACTGCTAATCCTTATTGATTCCCGGCCCTCCTAGTGCACACTTGGTTTATTTTTACAAAAACTGTTAAAATATTGAGCTAAAATATATTAAAACCAACTGGATCAAAGTTAGTTGTGGTCTGTTAGATAAATCAGTGCTCGCTCAGGTGCTGGGCTGCAGTTCAATTCAAAACATTTTTCTCAGATTAAATTAATTTAATGGTCACATCTCACATATCTTAAAACAGTGGGATGTTCTGCTTGAGAAAGGCAGAAAATGGAACTAGCACAAATGATGGATTGTTTCTTACCTTTAGGTGGTCTTTCCAGGCGTGAACTTATTTTGAGGGAGAGCTGATCCTGCTTCTGTTGTCCTTGGCTTCTGAGTTAAATGAAACAAAACAAACTTGTCTCAGGATTCTGTTTTTTCCAGTGTGAGCAGGATTTTGAGAAAGATGGTCCAAATATTACAGTTCTATGTATGTGAAGAATTTTTGTATTTCTATACTCCTTTAATTACAGAAATTCTCTATTTACAATTAAGTAGATGTTCTTTTTGCAGTTATTGAAGAGAAAAAAATGAAAAATGTTATTTTTCCTTTTATTATCTTTACCTGATTCATAACAATTTAAATGCATCTGAAGAATATGCTAAGTATGCTTTTTGAATCTAAATCTACTTGCACTTGCAGAACTGTAAATTAAAGAGACATGGAAGTGCCATATTTCAGGCCTTTGTTCTGTAAACCTTAAAGGAATGAAAATCCTTTTTAGATTAATGGACCTGGTCTCACGAGTAATGATTGTCCCTCTAATTTTTTTTTTTGCCATTATTATTTCTATTATTATATTACAGATAACCCCTTTTGGCAGTATGAGTGTTAAATTTACTAATTAAATTCTCTGAAAGGAAAAGAATTCTACATTCTTGGATTTGTTTCTCAAGGTCTAAGCATCTTTATGTAGCTTCTTTAATGCTCCCTGCTCCCTTTTAATTGGAAGACATTCTGGCCATAATCACATCTGGTGAATAGATACTGTTTCAGAACATATTGTGAATAGATATCTTTTTTGGTCATCCAGTGATTGCATCAATTTGTGACAGATGGATTTGTGTTTGGGATTAAGGAATGATTGCTGTGTTCAAAGAAAATACTTCCACTATTATTAGTCAGAATTTGTATTTATTTATTTATTTATTTATTTATTTGTCCACACACTTTGGTTGAGCTAACCAAAGCACCAAATTTGAAGTCAGTGGTGGCTTTCCTTTAATTCCATAGTAGCTGAGAGTACCTAATTCAGCACAAAGTCTGCTGGCAGAAACTTAATTTGTCAGCATTTTCTGACAAAGCTTGAAGCTTGAAGCCCTAGGTTTGGCTTTTGGTAATGGATACTGTCTATCATTTTTGGGCTGGTACTAAAATAATCAAGGCCATCTTTCTCTACTGTCGAGTCATTGCCTTAGATTGTATTTCCATGATGAATTTATGCTGATCTACTGTCTCTTCATGCCTCCAACTCATGGCATTGTATTTGTGACCATATATGGGACCAAAATCAGGATCTGATCCAGTTAAACTGACAAAGAAAAACAAAACAAAAACAGCTTTGATTTTTATCAGTTTCCTAGTCAGGTTTCTTGAGTTGATGCATTTGTGTCAGGATAAAAGAAGGCTACTGATAGAAGAAACAAGCAGTCAAATGTACTGAAGAGGGAAGGAGTATTTGTTTCTGGGTCAATGGCAGCTATTTGCAGACATAGTGTTTGCAAAAGTGGGATCATAGAGTTGCACTGAATCCCAAGCATTGTCACTGGATATGAATAAGAAAAATGAGTGAAACAATTTGTATGGAATCACAGAATTATCAAGGTTGTAAGTGATCTTCAAGACCAGCAAGTCCAACCGTCAACCCAGCATCACCAAAATCACTCCAAGTGCCACATCCAGATGTCTCTGGAACTTTTCTAGAGATGGTGACTCCACCACCTCCCTGGGCAACTTATTCCAATGCCTAAACACTCTTTCGGTTAATTTTTTTTTCTAATATCCAATGTGAACCTCCTTTGGCACAACTTAAAGGTTTTTGCTCTTGTCCTTTCATTTGGGACATGGCAGGAGAAACCGACCCATACCTCACTTCCACCTCCTTTGAGGGAGATAGAGAGCAGTGAAGTCCTTTCAAGCCTCCTTTTCTCCAGGCTAAATAATCCCAGTTCCCTCAGTCACTCCTAAGATGATGTGTTTTCTAGATCCTCCAGCAGTTCCATTGCCCTTCTCTGGACATGCTCCAGCATGTCAGTGTCCTTTCTGGAAGTGAGAGGCCCAAAACCAAACCCAGTACTCAAGGTGCAGCCTCACCAGTGCATCACTTCCCTGTGATTCCATCTTATAAATTATCAGTTCATGATTGGCAGTTCTCTCAAATATTCTCATGGAATAATGATAAAAACAATTCAATTTTAGAGCAAAAGAAATTAGCTTCTGGATGAAAAAGAAATTTAATTTATAACTTGTATTTTAATATTTTAATGAAAATTTTTTTTAGCTGTAAAACAGTGATATGGTTCAAAAAAAAATATTGCAGTTCTGTATTTTTAGGTAGTTCTCCAGGAGATAAACATCCTCTCTTTAGCTTTTCCTAAATTTCATTTCCCTACTTCTTCTTGGTCTTGTACAGTATTTTCAAGTTCATTGAAATACTATGTTTTTTAAGGTTATCAACAAACTTGGGCCTCTGGAATGGATACTTAATACTCCCAGTCATCACAGAGTTCATCATGGTAAGATAAAAGTGGAACCTCTTATTCCTTTTTTTTTCTCAGGGTCACTATTTGTATAGTAAGAGTAATATAGTAAAACTGTACTGTAAAATCAGTTTTACAGAAAGATTTTAATTTTGACCTCTACTTCAAAAACAGTCCCTGTTCAGTTAGAAATTTCACAGTTTTTTAAAAAATATAATCAGAACTTAGGTTTAATGTAAACATTTTTGTATTTAAGATTAATTATTTAGGAGAAATTAAGTATGGATAACATGAAATAATTTGAGGACTTTGAGAAAAAACATTCAATGTTTTTAAGTATGCAGAGGGATAGAAAAATATCTCATCCTTACTGAATCATAAATAAACTTTTGCACTCAAATTCAAGCACTGTATCTGTGAAAAACATGGTTAGGTTTTAGAAGAACTTCTAAGTATTTTTGTGGAATTTGATTTCACTGTTTGAATAATGGGTAAATCCCACTTCACAGAAGTGCATGATGATTGATTTTTTATGAGTATTCAGAGGGCTTCAAGACTGTACTGCATATGTACCTTGTACTAATAACTCCACTGCATACTTGTCGTGGTTTGACACGGAAAAAGAATTTTTCCGGAACGAAGAGTTCAATTTGGATATTGACCAATTGAAGTTGGACACATCTCTGAGAATACAGAGGGGTTAAAAGCAGAATTCCCAGGAGAACTCTCTCTCTTTGGTTCCGGTCAGCCGCAGTGCAGCCTCCCCTGCCCGGCCGTGGCTGGGTGGGGAGGGGAAGGTCCATGGCCTGACTGAGGTGGGCCCAAGGGTGGAGGGACTGGAACCCCCTGCAGATGGAAGGGTGGAGAAATCTGGGATGTCTCCATTCCTCCCCCAGAGTTTATCTCCCTTGAGAGTGAGAGAAAGAGACAGCAGCAGTTTTGTCAGCAGTTCACCACGGGGGAGGAGAAGAGCGGGGAGCCGCAAGGTGCCCAGTCGCGTGGGAGTTGCTGGAGTCTGGGCATCGAGCCATCCTGGGAGTCAGGACTTTTAACCCTTCCTGAGAAATGAAAGCTTTGTGAAATTTTTTCCCCTCCTCAGTTTGAAAGAGAGGAAGAAGGACACCTTGGACCCTGGGATGTTAGAAGGAGAAATTCTAGATGGGGGGGGGGAGGGGGCGGTGAAGGAGTGGCTTTTTGGCTGGACTTTCTCCTTGGTAGCCACAGACGGAATTAATATTTTCCTCCAAGAGAGACTGTATTTTAGGAGGATGCCAGTGAGCCAAAGAGACCTGCTTCAGCTGGGAAAAGACAGAAGTGGAGCGAACAGAGAAAATTAGGGATTTGTGGTGGTGCCCTCTATCCTCAAAGAAGGAGAAGAGAAGAAGATCTCTGTTCTTGGACCCTCGGCCCCAGGGGAAAATGGGGGGGACTGTGGTCCCAAAAAATTAAAAACTGAACTGTTATTTTCTCCCCTCTTGGCAGGGCATCCTTGAAAGGAAAAAAATCCTAAAAGCAATTTGTCCATCTATGCATTGGTGGTGAGAGCACTGTGCATGGAAAGGAGAAGGGTCACCATGGCAAACTTTTTCTCCAGGTGGTGCCATGTGTGACATGGAAGCACAGGATGTTGCAGCTGTGTTTCCTGGGGGTCTGTGGCACAGGAGAGACTCTGTCCCCCTCGATGGGCTGAGTATCGATTGTCTGGAGGGTGGAAATCTGATTGGGGTCCAGATTATGTCTCACTGTGGTTTGTTGGAGTTGGGTGGTGGGAGGAGGAATGCTTTGCAAGGTTTTAATTTTGATCTTTATGTGTGGATTTTTTTTTTCCTTCCTTTCTTTCTTTTATAGTAGTAGCTTAATAAAGTTTTTTTTTTTTTCTGTTATTAAGCTTGGGCCTGCTTTGCTCTGTTCTCGATTGCATTTCACAGCATTCAATTGAGAGATTGCATTTCCATGGTGGCACTGGCATTGTGCCAGTGTCAAACCATGACAATACTGAAAAATGTCATGAACATGTCTGAGACACAGAAGTGGATTTCACAGATGTCCTTAGCTCATTCAGTGTGCAGAGATAGTAAGTTAAAAAAAAAAAAGTAGGGGAATGGAAGAACAATTTGAAATAGACTCAAATTGAGTTACATGTGCAGAGGATGTTACTAATGTTTATTGTATCCTCACAATCACTGTACCCACAGTTGGGTGCTCTAAGTGTCTAGTCCTTAAAATTTGGGCAACTACTGGTAATCCTCAGGGAGTCAGTCTGCTCTTACTTGCTCAGCTGTAAATATGAGCTAATGCTCTCATCCTGACTGGATTTAAGCTGAATCTTTATGGAACTGATCAGGGGCTGTACAGTTGCTCCAGACTATCTCCACAAACTTAGGGATGTGTAACCAATGCTTCTTTACTCATAACTTTGAGAGGACTGCTTATATACCAACACATTCCCTAGAAAACTTAGAAGGATCAGTTCTCCTCACACTGATATTAATAGTTCAGGATCAGACATGTGACATAGAGGACAGAGACACTTGAGTAACTACCCATATATGTATTTAGCATATATTTTGTTGGAACTGGTGGAATAATTTTTGTTTGCTTTTTAGTTTGCAATTTATAAATATATTTTGACTGCTTTTACTCTCCGAATTTCACAGAAATATTGGCATGACACATTGGATGTGTATGTCTGAATCTGAATATAAAGAGAGCAATAAGGCTATTAAGGAAAAAAGAAATATATATAGACCTATGAGGAGTGGTGAGATAGCTATCTTTTACGGTATTTTTTTAGATTATAAAGTGATGCAAATGATGATTTTCCTTCATAATTCAGTTCCTAGTATTCTTCTTTATCCTATTACTTTTCTCATAAGTGATTTTTATTACAGGTAGAAATCCTTACTGCATTGACAAAAATTATGGTGGCACACTCATTATCTGGGACAGGATGTTTGGTAAGTAAAAGAAGATGTTCTCTGTTATGTTTAATCAGTGTGGCAAAAATATGAATACTTTTGAATTTGATTGTTTGTCATTCTTTTGTTTTCTTCTTCCATCAGGAACATTTGAGGCTGAAGATGCAAAAGTTGTATATGGCTTAACACATCCAGTAAATTCATTTGATCCCATCATGCTCCAGGTGCTATAGTTTTTATCACTGATTCTGATATCTTCAACATTCAGTCAAAATTCAAAAGAAACCCTTCTCTTAAGCATAGTTGAGGCCATCCTTGCATTGCTAACTAGTCAATCACATTATCTACAATTTCTTCAGTATTTCATTATGAAACAGGCATTTCTACTCACTGCATTGAGTTTATGCAGAGTTTGTAGTAATCATGAAAATATATAACAGTAAAACTAACAACTAATTTAGAACAGTGTTGGACTGAATGAGATGTTTTGCAATGCAAAAATACATAGTGAAGCACAGACAAAAGCATATAATAAACAAAAAGAAAACTAGTTAGTGTGGTGCTTCTCAGATTTATTGGTTCAGGTTTCACTTAAGCTAGGTAAAAATTCTCTGCAAAAACATGAGAAGCAGTGGAGTCCATATTTGCTTTTCATGTCTGTTCATCCAAGGAGGAATCTCAAAGAAAGAGAAATTTTACTGTCAGGGCTGGAAAGTGGGAAGATGTACAATTATATCAATTTCAGTCAGATACTAATTTCATTACTGAGAGTGTGTCATTTCAAGGTCCCAGTAACCAAATCATACTGCATAAATATAGCTATACAATATACCACTAATACTCAGGAGCTATAGCTATACAATATACCACAATTGTATAACTACAGCTATAAAATATACCACTAATACTCAGGAGTGATTACAGGAGACACAGATGGAGAAACAGATTTTCCTCTGAGCAGAAATCCTCACCAAATTAACCAAGGGCATCATATTGCTTTTGCCTATTTCAGCCAGGTTTTCTGAACTGTCTTCATCTATTTCTAATTTATTCTCTTTACAGAGTTGGAAATAATTTATTTGAATAATTTATTTGAAAACTAAAAATTGAAATTTAATTGAAAACTAAAGTGCAATGTTTTAATAATCTTTATTTTGTGAACAATGAAAAATAACTTTTTTTTTCAGTTACGTCCCTTGGCTCATATTTGGAACACGTTTTGGGCCACACCTGGATTCTGCAATAAGCTTTCTGTCATATTCAAAGGGCCAGGCTGGGGACCAGGCAAACCTAGACTTGGCCTTCCTGAGGAAATCCCAGTGGTAAATAGAACATGCACAGGCTTTCAGTTGTGTGTAATTTACTTGGGCCTCTTAATGCTACTGGATCAATGTTAAAAACTCTACACATGCTATTTTAAATTAGCAAATTAGCAGTCATAAAGCATGGGGGAAGATGAATTAGGAAAAGAAACTGAAGGAAATGAATGTTTTAACTCTGGGGTTTTTTTTCTTTTTATTTGAAGGAAAAAGCATGTTTTTTAAGTTATTTTTTCATTATTCATTTCCTGAAAAGATTTTCAAAATTTTTCTGTGGAGTAGAGTAATTTCTCTTTTTTTTTCAGCTGTGGACGTGCACAAACACACAAAGTTTAACTGTCTGAAACTAGGTAGTATATAAGTTTGACAGTAGGTTATCTTTCTTCAATTAGCTGTCACCCCTTTTGTGTTTGTAAGTGTAAAGAATATTAAGGAGCAGGTCACTCTTGAAGGCAAGTAACTGTTTTACTTTATACAGGTCACTGGAAAAGAAGTTCCCTTCAATCCACGTGTACCAGCTTATCTTAATTACTATGCACTTGTACATTTTGCTGTAATAGTGGACTTGTACATCGAACTTCTTGCTTCTATGACTGTAAGTAATTCTTTCCTTTATGAAATAGTATCTCCTGCTAACAGCAATTGCCCACAACATGTTTAAATATTAAGGGATCAGCCAAGTGGCTCTATAGCCAACTCATATCTTACTTGAGCTACTAAAATATTAACTAGATTCTGTAAAAGAATTAGCCTAAATGGCTAAATATATGATTCCATGCTATAAAATATACATTTGATATTGTTTAGTAAACGGTTTTTAATAACCATATCAGTTATTTACATAATATAAATAATTTGCCTAGAAGACTTATGTGTCTGTTTTAGTTTTTAGTACCTCATGAGGCTTGAAACTGCAGAGTTTTAAGATGTTAAGATTGATCATACCATTAGGTGCTCAGGCTTTAGAAGGAAGATTACAATGGTCTTGCAGTGCTTGCAGATAGGTAGGTTGGTGTCAGCATGAGTTCAGAGCTGTAGGAGCACAGAGTCGGGGCAAATTTTTCTTCCAATCTCTAACATACAGCAGCATTGATAGAAGCACAGCAAGGAAAGGCATGTATTTATCACCAGAGGTTTGCCTGATGGGATCTCCATGGGGACTCTTTCCTCTATGGATACCTCACAGCCTGTGAAGGTGAACTACAAGGCCATGTCCACCTAAAAGAAATGAGACATTAACTGCTTCCAAGGTTTCACATCCTCCCAAGCTCCTTTTCTTTCTTCCGGTCTTTATAACTCTCCCTCATGTACTAAAGCTAAAATTTCATAGTTATGAAGAAGGATTTAATGGATATAATATTCCCACAAATAAGTCAAAGACCTCTCAAGATGTACAAAAATACCACAAAATTCTATTAGTTTGATAAAATGCCCTTTGGTCTTCTTCCTAAACCCTTTCTAAGTCCCCCCTACTTCAAGAGCAGTGTTCTTGCTGTGTTTGTGTCACCCATGTTGCCACAGGCAGGCTGTAAACACGCAAAGGGCCCCTTGGGTTCTTCAGCCTTGTCCTGTCATGCTCACCTGGCAATCTCCAACCCTTGGCCAACAGTGGTCACAGTCCCCTACCTCACTGGACACTGCAGTACCTAGCATTCCTGGTATAATATTAAAGTTAACTCAGGCATATTCATTGGATTAGTATGGAGTTATTCTACATACCATGTTTATCTCTGCAAAGGGTCACACTGCAATTGCAGGGAATTAGGAGATCACTAAATCATCTGAGGCTTAGTCTATTATAAGGACAGGAAATTAAGCCAAAGGTATGAATAAATACCTCCAAAATACACAAGTCAAACAGTATACATGATTGCCAGTGTTCCTATATTTAGAAAAACCTCTGCAAGATTTTCCAGAATACTTCTAGATTCTACATTTGCATAGGAATCAAACTCCATGTTTGAGGTTTTTCAATTTGTTTCATTTTGCTGTTGGGTTGGATTTTTTTTTTACTCTATGCTGTTGCTTTTAACAGCCAGAATTAAGGATATATATTTTTTTTCTATTTTATTATTTTCTTCTTTTGGCCTTTTTCTGGTCCTGGAATGAAAAATGGATGGTCCACATTATTTTATCTGCTGGTAACTGCAGCTGTTTAAGAATAAATAATAAAGAAAGTTGAAAAATGCACCCAACCCCCAGATAATCACTAAATTCTTTCAGTCATGGAGGAAGCATCCTGAAGATCCTCCATTTATGAACTTATTGTGGAAAAGCAACTAGAAAATTGTCTGCACAAAACTGCAGGGTAATAAGGTAGTAAGGATAAGAAGGAGAGCACAGGGGACTGGAAGCACCTCATCTCAGGACATAAACCTTCAGCGTGGGTGTAGAAAGTGCTGGTCCCAAGGCAGAGTTCCAGCATCGCTCTGCAGTACAGTGGGGAAGCTGTCATGAGAAGGAAGCTTGTGTATGAATAACTTTACTTGGCAAAAACCTTTCTTCAATATCAGTTTTCCACTACACTGAGTTATGAAATGTCTATGGATACAACTGGAACGTTCTGTCTGGCTATGAATTATGTCATAACTGTGGCATAGCTCCATAAATGGAGAAAACTAACTGTTTTCCTCATCTTTAGGTATAAGTTCCATTTCATAACAGCCATAAGACACAGCACACAGCTATTACATTTCTCAAGTGATTACAGTTGCTCAGTGTTTGGTCTCACGCCCTGTAGAAGTGTTAAATTTCTCTATCCATAAAGAGCAACCATATACCTTCTGTCTGAATGACCTACATTTAACTTACGAAAAGAGCAAAACAGGAAAGAACAAATATATATTTTCCACAGGAGAGAGCATACAGTGTTTGTTTTCTGTATAGTGATCTGCACTACATCCAGTGAATAAAAATTGCTTTCTGAGCTCTGCACATCTAGATCTGATCCAAAGCTCCTTGAAGAAATGGGATTTGGACCAGTCCCAGAGAGAGTGCTAGGAGTGTAAAATTGCAGTACATTCAAAGCAAAAGTCTCATAGCTCCAGAACTTCAGGTATCATATAAATCAAAGTGAAGTGCACCTTAAACACGTTTTGTAGTGTTTCTTTTATTGTTAATAGATACTATAACATTTACTGGGCTTATAATTATATGACTATGTAAGCAGTTTCAATTAGATGGAAATTAGTAAGATAGAACTCTTGAAAGTTAAGAACACAATTAATGTATTTATTCAGTAGGGCATCAGCAAGTACAGTGTATGTAATATTGCAAAGAATTAGATTTTTTTTCTAGGAATTCTAAGTTAAAATAAACTCATACAGATAATGACACCTAACAATAGAAAATTCATAGCATCATATTTGCATTCCTAATTTGAATGTATCTGATTATCTGATGTATGAGAGCGGGCAACTGTTAATTTATGAAATGTGCTGACATCATTCCTGGAAATTCTTTTGAACCACTGGAGAAATCAGAATGAGAAAATGCATCCATGTTATTCTTCCAAAGGAATAAAAAGACTGATTCTTTGCAATATAAAAAGTCAATTTTGAATATTTCAATGCTCATGTAAATATAGATTTGGAATAACATTTTCTTTGTTTAAATGAATTATTTTTTTCATTCCTAGAAAACCATAAAATAATAATGCTATGGCATTCTGTTGGTTACAAAGCAGTGTAAACATCTGACTAAACTCTATAATCCCTTCCCTCCCATTTTTTAAGGCTCAAAGATATTTTTAAAGCTTTAAATTAAATGAAAATCCAACAGAAATATTTTTTTCTGCTTGATTGTAGCCAATAACCACATTGCAAAGTTGTGGCTGACTTGTAATTGGGGAACCTGCTGTGGTCCCACATGCTTCTCTGTTTATACAAATACTCCAGTATATAAATACTCATTTATTTTTTATATACATCCATGCATACTATGTTTAAGTGGAACAAAGATGCTAACACTAATGACGGTGTAAAAGGCACATTCTTTTTGCACTGCTGGTTGCAGTGCATAGATTTAATATATGATGTTAGTTTAGTGATATAATCCACTGACTATTTTGTTGATTTTGGTAGAGTAATGCCTAGAAAATGGATGCCTCAGCTGCCAGCATCCACTTCATAGGGTGATGTGTGTTTGAAAGCAAATAAAAGAATCAAGGCAGCATATTTCTATATCACTAGAACTGTAAGAGAAACTTAGGGAAGCAAACGAACAGTGGTAAAAATTACACTATATGGCTGGTTTTCTAAAAGATATTATTCCCAATGGCATCATGGTGTATTTCACTGAAAATTTCTTGGTAATCCTTGACTAGCAGTACAAATGAGGGATTTTTTTTGTTGTATGTAAATGTGGTGCTTCTACCTACAGTGAAGGGTAACTTGCACCTTCTACCTTCATGATTCCCAGTAAGGCTTTCTGCCTCATCCTTCACCACTCTGAAAGCTGATGTTTTGGGAAGTGGAAAGCTGCCACACCATGCTCAGGCATTACAGTGCCATGCTTTTGCATGAATCTGATGATAGTGCCAATCTGAAATCACCCGGGATCTCCAGGTTGTGCTTTAGAGTCCTCCAGTCCTTCACATTCTGGGTCAGAGGGCATATTGATCATAAGGAGTTTTACAAATAACTAGTGTTTAAAATAGTATTGTTCAAGTAGGACTGTGTCTGAAAAGAAATGGAAATTGGCCTGATAAAACAAGTCTGTAAAATATATTCACACATGGCTCAGGTAGCTATTATGCCAAAGAATCTCATATAGCATTTTAACCATTTAAAGATAAAGGCCTGTTTACATTTGAGTTTGATTTTCTAAAAAGTTATAAGGTTGCTTCAGTTCTTCTGATTTACAGACATTAAAATGTGTTTCTATTCCTATTTTTTTGCTGGAACTCCATGTTTAAAACTGATCTGAAATGTATTAATTTCCTGTCAAGTTCTTAGTCTGTGCTTTATTCTTCTGTGTTAGATATTTGTGGGGGATAATTTTAATTATTTTTCCTGTTCTAGTAATGTAAATTAAAATATATCTTTAAGCTAAGAAAAAAGCCCTTGATCGAAGTTATAGGTAAAACCACCACTAAAATATGACCCAAAATTGTCTGCTTTTGGGAAGCGTTTTCATCATCCACTGAAATCCACCTCTTAATGCAGTACCAAATGTAGTCTTTAGGCCTGTAGTCTACTGATGGCAAGAAATGGAATTCCCAAAGTGGTCAGCTTATTCCCACATTCCTAGTGTGCTCTCTCCACAAGTTTCAGCGAAAGTTTAGGTTAACTTATCTGCAGGTATCAGTTTTCTGCAGCTGGAGTCACAAGGAAACACAGATGCCTGGGACAAGCTAGCCAGCTTGGGATCCATGAAAAGGCAGAAAAGTTTGAAATCATGCAGCCGTTTAAAACTGGAAACTAGGGACATCCTTGCTCATTCATAGCATGTACTCTTAAATTCTTCCTCAAGACCAGTATTGGCACTTGTATGAAAGCCATTGCAGTTTCATTCCTTTCCCACAAAGTGTAATTTTAGCCATATATTGTAATGTAGCAACTCCATAACTTGATAGATATCTAGATTTGATGTTTAGTTCTCTTTCCTGCCTAGGAAGATACAAAACCTTGCTTCTCAGAATAGTGCTCTACCACTGTGGGAGCATTTTTCAGACAGTCTGTAGGACCTGGTGCATCACAGTGGAAACAAAGAAAAGTCAGACCCACCTGGCAAGAATAAGTAGATTTTAAAGAAAGTGTAATTTTTCAACTTAAAAGTGAGGACAGTCTTTAAGGAGAAAAATCTTAAATTTCAGTCTTTGTTCCCTGGAAAACTCCTTTATAAGGCAAGTAACAATCATTGAAAAGCCTATCAAAGCATTTCTAAGAAATTTATGGGTGAGCTCCCTTATGCCTGTGCCAAATCATATTTTTCCTTGCTCACTTCTTGAATTTTTGTATGACCCAGATTGTACAGGAAGCTGAAGTGGAAGTTGAACTCAGTATTATGGCTAGATAAACAGTTAAAGCACTCCTCATTTAATTAAATTCAAATAGAGTCCGTGCCTGATTTTTACAAAAAAGCTCTGTCCAAATATTCAGTCACTTCAAAACAAATTTCTCCTATTGCTAACAATGAAAAGTTTATCATAAAGAGAAATGGAACAGATTGGTAATGTGGAAATGCAGTAATAATTTTGATTCTCACCTGGTACAAATCTGTCCAACAGAATGGCTTGACAGGTGTCATTTGTGAGAACTGTGTTCTGGCTTGTAAACTGGTGAGGCTGCTGTTTAGTTTGCTCATTGCTGGGACTGAGTTTTCTTTGTTCAATAACTATTGAGGATATCTAAGTAGGTGTTTGTGATGCTTCAGTAAAACAACAGAAACCTGCCCAGACTGAGTGTGTGGTTTGATGTGTTTTGCAAACATGGGTACTCAAAGTTCACACAGCTGTAAAACTTGAGAGTATCCTCCTGTGGCCTCCCATGCACACAGATACTTACCTTAGATCTCTTTGAGGGTTTGGGGCCACGAGCGAAGGAAGTTGGGTATGTCACTGAATGGGATTTATGGAAATCAGGGCAGACATTTGTGGAGTTTTATTTTACCAATGCCTGCAAATGAAGCGCAAGATGCTGTTCGTGAACTCTTTTGCTGCTGAAGCAAGAAAGGATTTCTGTAACTCAGTCAGATCCATTACTTCTGTTTTGTTTTGTTTTAATAAAAAAAAAAACAAACAAAAAAAACCCCACAAAACAAAAAGCTTTTCAAAACTAATATTTGAAACAAAATCAGGGAGGGAAAAATGGAAACTGATTAAATAATTGATTTTCAAAGGCAGCTGTATAGAATACAAAATAAATATTTAATAAATTTTAAAAATTCAAACTTTGCAATCAAAATAATTTCTGTTTTTCTTTATGTCATTTTGATGTAAATTTTCTTTATGTAATTTTGATGTAAATTTTAAGGACAGAAGTGCTCATGCTGCGATTCATCTAAATACTCATGCACATGTTAATGTTTAAAATTGTTTTAAGTCTGATTGAAGCTAATGATATGAGCTAAAAGTTTTGCTGACTTGGGAACCAAGTGTCAAGTTCTCATGAAGGTTAAACATTAATTTTGTTTTGTCTTAAATATGATCATGTCTTGTGAGTTGTTATTTTCACCAGTACATTGACTTTTGTATCTATTGGGATTCAAAGATAGCTATTGTAAGGAACTGGTAACATAATATGAAATTTAAAGAAGAGGGCTGCTGGGATTTTTATCTAGAAGTGAGTTTCTTCCCTCTTGAGTAGAGTCAAAAGGAAATCAAATAACTTTGGGAAAAAAACACATAGGACAGAAGGGGATAACTTTAGGAAACAACTGTGAAGGTGGTTACTCCAGGTATGAGTGCTATCCATAGCAGATTTTTTTTCCTAAAATTTAAAGTAGCAAATTACTTTAAAAGGGGACACTAGCTTCACTCAGTGAGTAAGTTCAAGCTACTGTTCCATAAAAATTCCATTTATCTCCAGAAAATAACTCTAAATTAATTTTTTTGTCTGCCTTTTAACAGATGTTGTCACAAGGAACAGTTCTCATGAGAATTGGCTTTATTATTCTGTCCCTGGCATCTTTTGGACTACTTATGGAGAACAAGTAAGATACAAAATATGTGGGGTTTTTTATTCTTTCATTATGGATTATTTATAACTATATGTACATCTCAGAAATTATATCGATAAAGAGATATATTCACCCAGACCCCCACACATGGCTGTCTGCTGACTAGAAAATAACATGACTATCTAGCACCTAAATCCAGGATTGTTCCCATAGGAAGTGGTGACTGCACCTGTATTATTCCTTGCAGAAAAGTTTTGGGAAGGATTCTTCATGTCTTCCTCTGTGCTTGCAGTTACTGGGTCCACTCCTCTGGCTTTGGGACAGTGGCAGCCGGGTGGGACCTGCCAGCTGTCTGAGGCTGTTCCAGGTCAGATTGTACGAGCCCTGTGTAGCACACAATAGGTGTCAGATATGGTGGTGGTATATGAAGAGCACACAGTGTAGCTCAGAGCAGGCTCAAAATCACATGAAAGATGGTATAGACTTGAGACTAAACCTAATCAGTATGGCTTCAAATGAAATTGGATCTTGAATACACCAGGCCAGTGAGATACATTATGAAGTAGTCCATATGGACACTGTGGCCCTAAAGAAGAGTCAGCAGCATCCACATTTTCTTGCATAGAAATTATTTGCCCTAACAGAGAAGAAATGTGGAGTAGAAGTTTCCTTTGAGACTGAGGTGCCAGTACTGTTTTGCACCTGCTGTTCATTATGTTTTCAGAGAGGAATAACTTTCATTTTTAAGAACTGAACAATTTAATTCAGAATAGGTAAAAATCTGGCAACATGCCAGACATGTGAATAACCTAGGGAGTTAATAAAGAGGTATTAGTAAAAATTTACAGAAGTAGACCACTGAAAAGATTCTGAGCTACTTATGTAGCACTTCTCAGAATTTTATTGTGTTAATTCTTGCGATCAAAGGACAGTAACTAAATATACAGAACCATTCATATTTGTTCAAATATCTTTTGCAAGTACGGGCATACTCACCACTAGGAAATTCATGGTTGTAAGTCTATGTAAGGTATATACCATAAAAACTTAACTTTAAGAAAAATGACTGTATGTAAATGAAGGACACCACAAACTAATTCTATTTTCTCTTTTTCACTGAACTTAGCAAAGAAGAAAAGATTGGATGTTAATCTGAATTGATTCTCTTTTCTAGGTCCAAAGCAGGAATTTTGGAAATTATCCGTTGTTTAGTCTTCATAGGTGTTTACAAACTTGGCTACTTTAGGAGTCATTTTTCCTTCTTGGGCTATGCATATGAGGTAAGATATTTATTTTAAAACATCTCTGATGATTATTCTAGATTTTTTTATCTTTTTACAAAAAAGAAACACTAAACATTTACATTTTGCTTTCTTATTTTTTATTATGCTCTTTGAATAGAGTATTATTTTTTTTTATCTCATTATTTTTCACTTTTTATGATTATTTTGTAAGAAAATTATTCCAGTTCACTACTTAGATGCCAGTTATCCTTGGAAAAAAGGTCATGAAGGACTGCATTTACCGCTTCTTGCAAAAATAACTTACTTGTGTCCATGTGCGTTGAAATGAATAATAGTAATGCATTGATGAATTCAGATTGTTTAATTCCCCTTTTATAGGAGAAATATGAAAATTCTTGGAGGCCGGAGACTTAAATATAAAGTATTTTGCTCTGTATTAATCCTGTGCGTCAGAAACAGACTTTTAGCCATTGACAAGGAATGGATACAAGACTAAATAGACCTATGGTCTGATGCGTGTGGTTACTTTTGTGTTCTTAATATTTACTTCTATCCTGTTTGTGCCTTTTGCTTTTTTATTATTTTTCTTTCCAGTACAGTTGGTATTTCATATCACTTTTAATATCATCACAATGAAATCACAATGGTCACTGTTAGTATTCCTATCTGAACAACATTACCAAGCTACTTACTGTTGGTTACCTGAAAATAATCGTTATTCATAACCTACAAGGTTATAAATGGGTGGCTAGATTAGTAGAACCTCATCAGAAAGTTACTCTTTTGGCTTAAAATCAGAAAAAAAAAAAATCAAATAAAACAGTAGGAACTGAGACTCAAACAAGTTCAGAATGGTTCCTTTGACTTCAAACATATGCAAAATTTATAGCATCATTCCCAGTTGGAAGTGGTCTCACTTCTGATTTTCTCAAGGAAAAGGAATTAGAAAAAAAAAATCTACTGCTGCTCTGGGTCTGGGAGGTTTTTCTGGTTTTTGTGGGGTTTTTTTTTGGTTTTTTGTGGTTTTTTTTTTTTTTTTTCCTGCCTGGGCTGGAAAACAATATCTATTGGACAATATTTAAAGCAAGATGAATGCCACTAATTGTTTAATTTTTGTTTAATTGTTTAATTTTTCCCCTGCCCCCCTGTTACATTGTCAAAGCTTTGGTGTATAAATCAAATGGTTGTTGAATTCCTTTGATAAGAGTCTGCAAGAATTCAGCAGGTATTTTAAGAAGTTTTCTTTTTGGAAAATGTCTGTAAAATTTCCTGCGTAGCCTAATACAGTAGAAAGGCTTTAAGTAACAAATTCTAAAATTTTGGAAGAGTTTACCTTGCCCTTGAGACACAGCTTTCAGACTTCAATTATTTGGGTATTCTAACTGAGCTCTGCGAGAATTATGTCACTATATACACCCTCAATACCCACCCTGCTGAGTTCTTTATTCATAGATAAAAGTGTCTCTTACTAAGAAATGAGTAGAAGATTAGATTATTATTATTAATATTATTGTTCATAGGGAATTCCATAGCTTCCTTTTCTTTCATGAAGAAGAAAATTATTTAAAAAATTATTCTCTACTGTACTTTCCTATACTTTGTTCCTTTTGTTTATTCTTTTATCCTCTGGTTTGGAAAGACAGGTGTCTGCTAAGGAAGTCAGGAGCCTCCCCTGCAATGGAAAAATGTAAATCCCCTCCCTCCGAATTGTTATAAATTTGAAATTAAGTGGGGCACTCGGGCAAAAATATGGGAGCAGGAATAACAGTTCTTTATTAGGGAAGAAAATAAAAATATGAAATAAACAATGCAGTGAACAATAACAACACTGACAGAGTCAGAATACAACCTGACACAGTGTTGGTCAGGGTCCTGACAGCAGTCCCATTGGAATTGTGGCTGCAGTCTTCCTGGAGTGGCACGTGTGGTTCTGTTGCAACAGTGATCCTGTAAAAAAAGGGTGTAGTCTTCCTGCAGTAGAAGAGGCAGCTGTTCCTCTGGGAAATCCAGTGCAGGAAAAGCTGTGCTGGTGTTCCAGAAACTCAAGATTATATCCAGGTAGAAATGCTTGGCTCCTCCCTCTGGGCGGAGCATCTCACAATGGGATGTTATAGTTCTTATAAGCCACACAGTGACAATCAAAAGCCCATTATCAGCAGATGTCTCCCCTGAGAGGGGATTGGTTGTGGAAAAGATAAGGAAAACTGCCCACTTAATAGATGACAACTGTCATACAGATAGCAAATGGAATACATCTTGCCTTTCAATCTGGGACACCTTCATAATACAGTTCTATGTTGTTCTTTTCTTGGTCCTTTGTTTGACATTGACTATGTAGTTCATTTTTTACAAGAGACTGGACTACTTGCACACAATTTTTCTTTGAAAATACTGAAAAAATAAGTGTCATTTAAATAATTTGCTCTTGGGCAGACCAGAATAGGTGATGCTTCTGAGTGATGCCGGTATTTCCACCCATGACATTTTATCACAAATCAAGAATTTCATGATATTAATAGCTTTTATGATCATAGAATAATAGAATAGTTTGTGTATGAATTATAAAGATCCTGTAGTCCAATCCCTTGCAATTAGCATCTTCAACTACAGCAGAATGATCTGAGTCCCAATCAACCTGATTTTGAAAATTTCCAGGGATGAGGCATCTCTCAATTCACTGAACAATTTGTTCCTGTGCTTCACCATCTTCACAATAAAAAATGTTTTACTTTTTGTAGTCTGAACATTTGCAATGAGCTTCAAAATGTTCCCCATTTTAAAAGTAATGACCCACTTTTAAAATAAGTGATCCACTTTTGCTCCCAGTATATTATATGCATGGTAGACATCTTCTTATGGGTCTAATGGAATTTATGTGTAAAAAAAAAATCAGAGAGATTGATGGAGATTTGTCAGTTCATGTTGAAAATTCTTGCCTCAATGCCTTGTTTTGCCTCATTGTTGACATGATTATTTTGAAACAGCAGTACAGAAAGTATAAGAAATATATAAACAGATGGTTTCCCCAGAAGTTAAGTCTAAAATTTGTCCTAAAAAATGTTTCTGTTCATCATTCCAAGTTGTTTATCCTTCAGAATATAATAACATAGGTAATCTGCTTGATTTTCAACTTCCTTTGCTCTGTTTCACTTTCACATTCTCTTAAAAAATTTAAGAGGTGTATATTAAAACATTTATTTAATCATTTTGCTTTTCTCATCTAAATATCCTGTCTTTAACATGCACATAGATTTAGCTGACTTTGATCTTTTTAATCAAATATTTCTAGTAATCATAACCTGTAATAAGCTCAGAAACATTCTTTTTATATCTTCATCCTTACGTGTTACAAAATTAACAATTCTTTAGTAATCCAGCATTCAAAAATGAAAGCACAACATCATGTAAAAGAGTCTGTGTTGACTTTTTCTATAAATTAAGCCTTCAAGGGCATAATTACTTAAGGATAAAGAAGTGTTCCAAGAATCTAACAAACAATTCTTTCTCAGAATTCTTAAGTTAATGGTGCACATTGCAGCAGATAAGTGCAAGACTGATTTTACCAGTAGCATGTCAATAATTAGTGAAAAAGTATGTTACAGTTTTCCATATGTGTGGGGGATTTTCTGCTACTATGTTTCATATGTTCCTATTTCTCAAGACTACTTTAGAACCAGTAAACATTTCTAAGGAACATATCATTGCAATACAATTTGAAGAGTATTCTAACTGCCAAAAAATAGGTGCTTTAAGCTGAAAATGATTGTGTTTGGCTCATAAGAAGACTTGACAATTATCAGAATTACTCCATTGGAAGAACATCTTCTGGAGGGAAACTAAATGGGAAATAAAGAAGTGAGACAAAACTAGGGGTTCAGTTAGAGAAGGGAGCAGAACAGAGGAAACAAGGAGCAAGCCTTTCCCACTTTGCCATTAGATTAACTCAGGTGGGCATGAAAAAAGCAGCTGAAGATGGCAATCTGAGTAGAAGGAGCAGTCCTGCTCCCTGGATCCATTCTCTTACCCTCCTTGCTGCCCTGCTAACTGGCTTTGCCATCTGGGTTTAGCCCAACAAAGATTTTTTTCAGGTAAGTGTTGCAACTTGTTGTGGAGCAGGAAAGTTTCTTAATGCTACGGCTCAGGGAATGAGAAAGCAAAATGATATTATAGGTGTGTGAGAAGAAAATAAAGGCTTCTGCTTTTGCTGAAGCTGCAGTCTTAATGTGTTGTTTTCTGTGTCTGCAGTCAAGTAAAAACAGCATTGGCTCCACTGATACTTTGAAGTTGTGTGTTACCAGATTTGGTTACTTATGAAAATTATGTTATTTTTCTGATCATTTGAATACATTTTCCTCTCTGCTATTGTATTTTAATTCATTCTATGTTATACTCATGGGGATCTCTCCCAGTGTCCTTTTCTTCTCCAAGAAAATATTCTGAAGCTATCATCACTACAAAAGTGACTATAGAAGGTGGAACAGTGTACATTCCTCAGCATACATTTTCTGTTCCTTTTCCTGTATATATTTCATATGTATGATTAGGTGAATGTGGAGGGGGGAGGGAGTGAATTTTTTTGGTGGTTGTTTCTTTGTTTGAGGTTTTATGTGTTCTTTGTTTATTGAAGAAAAAAGTGGTGATATATGAGGAAATTTTTATATCTTAAGAAAATTATTTCTTGGGTGGAGGTCAATAAAAATCTCAGTGAAAGAGAGTTTGACTCATTTAGAAAGCTAGTGTGTTTCTTTTGAGAATCTGTACTGCCACATCCTATACTAATTAGCTTTCTTTAGGCTGATTACTTCATGCCTGCGTAATGTGATGATTGTGTGTATTAGTAAAGCCAAATCATTTTCTGTCAGACTGGGCCTGGAGCCTTCTAACCACCTGGAGGTAGCAGAAAACATTGCTTGTGTGTTCAGTTATGTGACGGTTCAGCAGGCACGAGATGTAAAAATAAATCTGTGATGATGGTCCACCTCTTTAAAGTGTTTCCATCCAACTGCTCTGGTTTGGCATCAGCCAGCATATTCCAT